TTGGGGCAGGGCTGGGTGAGATGTAGGGGACCTGTGGGACAGAGCTGGGGTGGAGGTGGGGAAGGCTTCCTCACGCTGGAGTCCCTGGAGCTGAGGGCTCAGCCCTACACCCTGAAGGGATGTTTTGGGCAGCCCAGGCAGCCCTGTGCTCCCTGCTCTCCTGCAGGGATTCAGTGGAGAGCACCAGGAGATGTCCGCATCGCTGCTGGTAGTTCACAGAATCACAGAATGGTTTGGGTTGAAAAACACCTTAAAGATCATCGAGTTCGAACCCCCTGCCGTGGGCAGGGACACCTCCCACTAGCCCAGGTTCCTCAAAGCCTCATCCAGCCTGGCCTTGAACCCCTCCAGGGATGGGGCATCCACAGCTTCTCTGGGCACCCTGGGCCACTGCCTCACCACCCTCACAGTGAAAAATTTCCTCCTAATATCTGACTTAAATCTCCCCTCTCTTAGTTTAAAACCATTCCCCCTCGTCCTGTCACTATCAACCCATGTAAACAGTCGCTCCCCCTCCTGTTTATAAGTAGTTGCCCTGTTGTATCAAAAAGCACTGACATCAGGCTTTTAGTAATCAGAGCATTTAATTTTCCATGGTTTTAGTGTTTAGCACATGCATAATTTTTTGTAGGTTTAGTGACAGTTCTGCATTTTTGGAACATTCAGGTGGTATAGTCAAATTTTGGTTTGAATCTCAGAAGAAAAACATCTAGTTTGAGGAACATGTTGTCTCCTTGTCAGTGGCCACACACAATCTTCCTTTGAATTTCGCAGAGCTTTGAATGAGTGAGGCATTTTTGTGCATTTCATCTAGAGTTTTTGCCTCTTTTTCCTCTACTTCCCTGGAGGGAAAATGGGCATTGCTTTTTGGGAAGAGATGAGAGGGGAGAAGGAAAAATGGGGTTTTTTTGCATAGTGTTAGTGACTAAAACATCCTGTTATTGAGATACATTCTATTAAAAACCATATTATTTTTATTCAACTCTTGTTATTATTTTAACAAGTAATAATAATAATTTGTTAAAGAAATTCTGATGTTTCTTCCAGTGTTATACTTCCCCTACCAGATAACGTGAAAGAATATTTGCTGGACGATGGAACGCTTGTGGTTTCCGGAAGGTAAAAAGTGTTTCCCCAACATCCTCCAAGTATTAATACTGTTTTATGTTCTCAGCACTATTTTAAATACATGTATTATGTTTTGCATCGTTGAGCTTTTTAAGTTTGACTGGTCTGGCTGCAGTAAACCTCATACTGTGTGAGTCTGTGAAGGGGCTGACTGTTGCTGTTAGCAAACATGCCTGATGCAGATCCTAAAATCCATTTAATACACTTGATTCTAGACTGAGTGGGGGCAGGTTTTTTCATTTTTCCTCTGCTTTTTCTTGCAGAGTCTACCAGTTTCTTGGGTGCACATCCTGCTGGTTTACGTTTGGTTGCTTTGATACTGTTAGCTCCACTTTAGAGGCTTGACCTTGTCCCAGGCCATTCACATGCCTGCTGCCTTATCCAGGGCTGAAGTGACATTAACTGAGTGTACTTCTCAATAAAATAAGCTACATATACAGTCCGCACTCCATAATTTCCTAACTGGTACTTTGCCTCTCACAGAGCAACAAATTAGGCTGTGAGTATAAGGGAGCTGTGTCTCATTTCTCAGGAATCAATTTATATGAAATTGAAGCTGTTTATACACCTTGTAAAGATTAAAGGTCTTTTTTAATTTAAAAATTCTTTTTTTATAAAAGGTATCCAGAAAATCAGAATAAACCATTTTGGATAAGAAGTAGTATTATCACCTGCTTCTTCATAATGGTGCAGCTTATTTAGTGGCAGACATTTGTTTTTTAATCAGTCTTCAGAACAGCTGAAACTGAGGGTTTGACTTTACAGCTATGTTCACAATTTCTGCTGTCTTCAGTGGTATAATGGACAGCTGTATAATGGACAGCTGTATAATTGACTGAAATTATATTTTTCAAGATGTTTCCAATTTAAAATCCCTTTTAGAAACCAATTTTTCTCTGAGTTCAACTTTCTCAGCTAGAAGTGAATGTGATCTTCTTGCAGTCAAGGCCAAGATCATTTGTAATCTTCAGTGGTATCTGACCTCTAGATCTCAAAAACTGAATTAATAGTTTAAATCCCTATGGAAGTGCAGTAAGGGACCGCAGAGACTTAGCTTGTTGAAGAGTTGGCTTCTGGCAGGGGCATACATTTGAACTTACCCTGTTTGCTACGCTGACTTGCTGTGAATAAGTCTTCTTCAAGAGCTTGGTCTTCTCCTTTGAGATCTTCACACTCAGTTATGTTGCTCAAAGAACTTAAAAAGTCACCTAGAACTTCAAGGGCATATTTGCAATCAAGTGCTTTCTCTCAGATATGCTGATGTTGACAACAGCAGATCTCACCTGTGGAGAAAAAGGAACTTCTCAGGAAGAAGCTCATGGCTATGTTTCCACTTCCCATAGGATCTTCCTTTCTGTGTGTGGAGTGTGGGGATGTTTTCTTTTCAGAGCCAGAAACTGACAGGTCGATATCTGAAAGTCAAGTTTTATGAATTTTTACTTGGAAAAGGAGTATGGAGCCAAAGCATAATTTAAATCTAATTTGTTTTTTTTTTTTTTTAAAAAGTTTGTTTAATTTGTGCTTCTGTGAGAGGACAGTAAAGTTGGAAAAGAGTGGTTGGCAGGGTGTTGAAAAGCTTCAATTATGGCATTTTCAGAGCAGAAGGTGATCTGCTAATTTGAAAGAAGCCAAGTGGTTTGGGTAGGGCCCAAGTCTAATGCCAGGGTGTTTGTTCTTTGGTTTTCAGTACTGGCGTGCTCTGATTTTTCTCTGCCAGGGGTTTTGAGGCTTCATCTTCTTATGAAAACATGTTGAGATCATCAGCTGATAGATGCTGTGGAAATGTAATGTACATGGTCAAGTTAAACTTCAGTGCTTAATTTTTTTTCCTGCTAATTTTTTCTTCTAGAGAAGATCCACCAAATCATGCTCAAGAGGGGAGTGATGATGCAGAGGAAATACAGGCGAGTATAAAATGCAACTTAATGTCAAGTCTCTTGAGAAAAATATGAATATGCAACCTTTTCTGCATAATTTATAGGTGTGGAGAGTACTTCACCAAAATAATAATAATAATAATGTGGTAGCTGGCTTGAGAAACTTAAAAACATCATCTATACTGTGATGCCAGAGGTATAACATGTTTCTGTGCTCTTTCACAGACAACTTTTTAATTTTTTTTGTTTCTTGATAATTGCATTTGTAATAATGAGGAAGGAATGTTGAAGGATGTTGGAAATGAACTTAGTGCTGTTTCATGCCCTGAAAATTTAGGAGGAAAAGTATATTTGGAGGAGTTATTTCAAGAAACAGTGAAAGTTTCTGAGACCAACATAGTTCGGAAGGGTATTCTAGAAGAAAAACACTGAAACATGTTGCAAGTGCAAGGTGACAGAAGGTACAAAAAGGGCATGAAAAAGAAATGTAAATGAAACTAATGGATCATGAGTCTAAGGCTAGAAGTACTGGAGCTGCAGACAAGCTTTAGACAGGGAAGACTCCGAGTTCTGAAATGTCCAAGTTTGTGATATAAATCCCAATTAAAATATATAGGTGTCTTCTTTTATCCGTACTTCAGAATAGTACTTCTACTGAAGATACAGTATTTTTCATGTCTTAATTTACAGCCGTAATAATTGGAGGATGGTGATGTTACATGCCAGGAGCTCCAGGGCGATGGTTTGATCTACGTGTTGTAGGAAGCCATATGGATTCTGATATTCTCATAAGTTAGAAAGGATGTCTTGGGAAACTAGTAACTTTTGACTTTTTTCGTATTTTTAACAGTGGTCAGATGATGAGAATACTACAACGCTTAAGGTAAGGTCCTGTAAAAGCCTAATGTGGGTTTGTCAGCAGTATCCTTTCTGCAACCTTGTGGTGTAAACTTGTTGCCACTTAGAGATATCTGTTACTGTATTTAATGTTTTTCAGACCATTCTAGATGAAAAAAGTTTGGTGGTTTCATTTTATTTAATTTAAAGTAAAACTCTTTTCTTCATCCCCAACAATCACACACTTGTTAGACTATAGGAAATTAGCTAAGGTATGGCTCTAAATATAGCTGCCTTTCATTTTCACCACTTTGAATATCTCTCAATTACTTAATCAGACTGGATGCAGAAGAAATGAAGCCCCTGCAGCTCAGTTTTCACAGCTTTTCTCTTACACCTTTGCCATGATTTTCTCCTAAGTACATTTCTTTCTGCCCTCTTTTTTTTTTTTTTCCTTTCCCTTTTCCTGTCTTTATTCTTCTCTCCTTGCACTGAGCCTGGCTTAGAATGAATACGAACCAGGCTTCCTTGATCTTTTTTTACAACTTTTTTGAAACTTGCTGTTGCCCTATCGTAGTCAAAGTTACTATACTTCCACCCCTTGTCTGCCACTGATACTGTTACTTCACTTCTGTTAGCTCCTTAATGTTCAACATTGTGCTGAATTGCTCACATTGGATTTGGCACAATAAAAACACAGCGCCTGCTTTGAGTTGCATGTGTGCTAGCACAGGATTTATAGCGTAGATTTTAAAACTAATACATGCCACATTTGCACACACTAACAGCTTCAATTCAAATATCTAAGATTTGATAAAGTAGATGCCTTAGGTGGAAAATTATTCAGAACAAGGATTTTGGTATCCATCGTGTCTTTTGAGAAGCTCATGTTAGTGTTGCTAAAGAAAGAATAATGTACTAAGGAAAGATTCAGAATGTCTGAAGTTCAGTCTAGGTCACTGAGCTAGAACGTGAGAGGGTTTTTTTAAGTGTCTGCATTTGGAGGGGCTGCAGAAAGGAGATGCCAAAATGTATAAAGTGTTTTTGATCACTTGTGTGGCTGTGAGGGCTTTGTTGTTTTAGAGACATCACTTAGCTTTAGCCTAGAAGTTACCTTTGAGTTGAGTTTAAGAATATTCAGACAGAAATAGCATTCTTATATACTTTTTGCTATAAATCCTATTACATTAAAAATCTTTGACATATACCTGAAATCCTTTCATATTGTTTTAAAGGTCATCAATCTGTTTTTTTCTGTAGCACCACATTCAGACTGGTGTTTATAACATCCTGAGGAGTTTTTTTACCCTGTTTCGCGTTTACAATATTGACAGTGTTCTTTACGAGACAAGGTTTGCTAGTCTAACCTGTACCTTTGCAGGGTGTCCTCTATTTTGATACAATATGTCATTAAGGAGCTACTTTAAGACAAAATTTAAGAGCTGATTAGTTAAGGTATTGCTAGCAACATTTTGTAAAACTAAAGCTTAAATGAGGAGCTGTCACTCATGCCTATGAATTGATTTATTTACTTTTGCTCTCTTACTGTACTCCTAAATGCAACTAGACAACCATTACAAACCAGAACTGATTTCTTTCTTCCTTTTAATACTTTAACAGAATACTACAATATTTGTATTTTAGTTTTTCCTAATACTTTTTTGAAGTTTTCTTTGTTTGTTTGTTTTTAAATCATCTTGGATATTATTTGTATACAATAATCTACCATCAGGTATAAAACAACAGGTATGTATTTAAGGTCTGTTTATCTGACTTGCACGTTTGCCAGCTGTTACAGCTTTCATGATGAACATTATGAAGTTTTGGGTTTTCTCCTGAAGTTTGTGGAGTCTTGCTAGTAATGAGAGTGAGAACTGGAAACATGTTTTCAATTTTATCTTATTGAAAGAGAGTTGGTGTTGATTCTTAAGTGATTTATTTATGAAAAATCATTATTTTTGGAGGGTTCTTGGTTCCTGATTTGTGGACATGTTTATTTCTTCCACAGTATGTATTACTAATGGTATTTAGAAGATGGCTACACTTCACTATTAAATGTATTGAAATTTGGAGGTTGTTTTTTTTTTTTGTTATTTGTACAGGCACCAGAATTTCCTGAGTTTACAGCTAAAGTTCAAGAAGCAATAAGTTCCTTGGGTGGTAGTGTTTTTCCTAAACTTAACTGGAGTGCTCCAAGGGTAAGAATGCTGACTCTCAAAACTTGTAACGGATGTTATCATAAGGATTTTTTTGTTTGTTTTGTCTTAATGCATTGGAAAGTAGAAGAGACTAGTAGTTCTGATAAAGGAAGGAGTGATAGACAGGATATCAGTGAAGTATGAGACAGCAAATTGTTCTGGTGGATTAGAGCTAGATGGTGCACTGTTTGGTGAGGCTGATGCAAGGCAGTACCATCTTCCTTACATAAAACCCTGTATCCTTGTCACAGATAACAGTATGATGGTCAGACTCTTCTCATTTTAGGATGCTAGTTAAAAACTTTGCCCGGGATAAAGATTAAAACCCTCACATTTTTTAAAAAAGCAATAAACTTCCCTCTAGTTATTTTTAGGTGCTCTAACTATGCCTTAAGGATGGGTGCACCCAAATGTCTTTGTATCATAGTCTCAAGGGAAACTTGTGTTCAGTCGAGCATTCCAAGAAAGTGCCTGGAAGCAGTAAGGCAAAAACTTTTTTAATGGATTTACTCTGCTTTCAACAGAGTATTCATAAGAAAAGCAATAAATATTGTGTCTCTTGTAACACCTAATGAAGATTTCTTCAAAATAAAAAGGTAACTTTCTGCATGTATTTCAAATGTTGCACAATATTTAGTGCGGATAGATCTGCACCAGGCATTCCTTCCTGCTAGTAAAGGTGTATTTTTGGGTAATGTCCTTTTTTTTTTTTGTTTAGGATGCCTACTGGATTGCAATGAACAGCTCTCTGAAATGTAAAGCTCTCAGTGACATCTTCCTCCTCTTCAAGAGTTCAGACTTCATTACTCGTGACCTAACTCAACCGTAAGTAGATTTCTTGGAGACAATCTTATTTATACCCAGTCAAAAATACTACAACCCTCCGAGGTTGGTTTCAGTTGTTTTGAAAGATCTTACTCTTTACAGTCATGATAAATATCTGATGTGGAAATACATATTTGTGTTTAGAAGTTGCTCAGGTACAGTAATACAAGCTTCAGGTACAGCAATAAGTTAGGTGTTCTTTGAAGCTCCCCTCACCCCTTCCCTCCTCCTGCAAAAATAAATGCCAGGTCCAATTTAGTGCAGAGAATTGTGAGGCAAATTATCTTCATTGTTACGCAAGTGAGTCTGTCCTAGTAAACCAGAATTGTTTACCTTGTTTTAGTTGACAAGAGAGGAGCAGCCTCCATTTTATTCTTATGTTAATTATCTTGATTTTAATATGCAAACAAGTGAAAAGCAAACCAGGGAGACATTACATTAAAGTCGTACATGTGAAATGACACTATGGACTAAGACCATTTTTATTGAGTTGCTTTCCAGAGCAAGTAGTATTTTAATCTCGGGTTTTTTTTTCCTTCCTACCCCTCTTAGTATTTACTTGTTGCTACCTACCTTCTTCTCACGGTAATACAGCATGACTTTACCATGTCCCTTTCAAATTTTGAAGGTGGAAGATGGCTGAGACTTCTGCTAACATATTCCTAGAGCTCCTTCTGAACCTAAGTTCTTATAGCTCTTGAACAAATGCACTCCAGGAACTGTGACTAGGGATAATAGTTACAGATAAAATTACAAGGGTGATATGCTTGGGGTTTATTTTGTCTGCTCACATGAAGAGAGTACTTAATTGTATAGGAACAGTAGTACATGCGTCTGATTTGCGTCACTCATTTCTAAAATACAGCGTTCTTCTAAAAGAAAATAGAATTATTGGAATTTAATGTTCTCGTTACTGTTATTACTAGTGTTTTTTCAGAAAATCAGAATTTCAAAGAAAAAGAGCAATCCAATGCTTGGAATCCAAGAGATTGCCTTCCAGTAATTATTCAATGCTTATTTATATTACTGCAATATTTAGGAGACTCAATTAAATGCAGGGCACTTGTTCTAGGTGCTTTATAGCGTAATAGTCCTGTGTTAAGTAGCTTATGACCCGATAAGAATTGTCTTGTCTAAAATGTGAAACCAGTTGCATTAATGCTGTGCAGCTGCCTTCTTTTTTTTTATTCCTGCAACTCTAATAACACTCTTCTCCCCCAGTCTGTTGATACATTGAAAAAGTTATAGGTAGCAACATCTTCATCTTTATCTCTGCATTTATGGAGTGCTAAGCAATGCTGCCAGTCCAATTCTGATGCTAGGCTTTACATTATGTCTAACCTACAACCAGGGGAAGAGACTGAGAAGGAGGGGAGTTTATGTTGGAGTGAGAAGACAGTCTGAAAAGTATGTTGGATTAGGGGAACAATCGTGAGTATTAAGAATTTATGATTCTGGGATCATAGAGAATGAAAGGGATGGGGGAGATGAGAAATCTATTGTTTACATTTCAGAGGTGAGTGAATACTGATTCTCAGGAGACTTTAGTGCCTTACCAAGGAGCTTTTTTTCATGGTTTCCCCTAATGAGAGGCAGGTGACTTGGCCAGGTGTCTTGAGGATGGTTTGTTTGGAGAGTCGAGCACTAAAATTTAGGTGTCCTTTGTTGTAACTGCTTTCAGGACTGACTCTTGTGGATCTGAAAAGAAATGTACACTTTTTATCAAGCCCTTTGTGTATATTAAATAATACATTTTTTGTTTTCTACTATCCTCACGTATAAAGAGGTTCATCCAAAAGTACCCTGAGCTCCTTGGAGAATTCCTGTTTGGTCAACCACTTTCTAACGAGCTTGGGACACAATCGAGTGTCTAGCAAGTACCACTTGATTTAGAAGTTGTGGCAGTGCTGTGTGTTTGTTTGTGCTCTTAGTTTATGCCATTTGTATGGCAGAATGAGCTGGTTCAATTGAGCTCCAGCTGAGACTGGAATTGGTGCATTTTCTGTCAGGTTTTATCTTTTATCAGGTAAAGTTAGCACCTCAGCTATGCATCTTGCCCTCTGCAGACAGCGCTGACTTAGTGGTAGAGGCAATGAATGCATTCTAGCTCCTGTGTTGTGAGATTTCACAGCGTGGGTGTTAACTTGAACCATCAGTAATTTCACCTTGAGTTCACACCAGACTAACATCAGTAGTGGCTGAGCAGCCTGGGGCAGGCTTACTCTCTTCTACTGATCCTGCTGTGGGAGAATAACCTCTTGCAGAAAGACAACACCTCAAATTGCAGTACTCCAATCCATTTAGACTCCTTTTCCAGCGTGATAACTCCACACGCACCGCCAGATAGCACAGCTCTGCTAGTAGTGTGTGAATAAGCCAGCCCTGTGACATGATGGTGGGATCATCACCTCATCTAAAGGCTAAGGTGAAGTTTAATGTGAGAAGTGTTGCATTTATTTCCCTCCCTATAAAATCTAATCTAATGTTTAGTATAAATTTGGGCTGTGTTGGGTTTTTTTGCTGGAACACACTTTATTGTTTTGGTAAGGTAGAGTTAATACAGGCAGTGCAGCCTTGCAGTTCCCATGAATTTGCATAGAAGTAGTAGTTATGACTAGGGGAACGTGTGCAATGTATAAAATCACTTTGGTCTCTAATGTATCTTATATTTTATGAATATTTTGTGCTTGATTAAAGCACATATTATTGTCCAGTCTGTGCATGGTATTTCTAAACTACTAAGTGATTTGTACAAAATGTCCCCATCCAAACAGTGAAATGATTGTTGCTGAATCAGAATGGTGGTCCTCCTTAATTATGCTATTGATTAGCTGCCAGTTCCCTAGTCCTTAGCAAGCAGAAATTAAAAAGGTAACTGGCGTAAGAACCTGAAGTGCTGAACAAGGGAAAATTGGATACATAATACATCCAAATCCCTTGGAAAGGCTAGTCAGAGGGAGGAGAAGGGATAAATGTGCTATATTTCTACTTTCATTAGTACTCAGTGTGGTCTAAAAGTTTTTTGCCCTGCATAAGTAACGGCTGACATGTTGTATACCCTTTTTTTTTTGTTCATGTTCAATTGTTTTAACTTAAAAATCCACTTCACGGGTCAGAATATGGAAAAGACTTTGCAATGGCAATTTGAAGATCTGTTTCTTAATCCAGCTTTGCCAGTGATGTGGGATTTAAGGCAAACCCCTTTCTTTGCCTCTTCCTTTTGCATTTCCTACCTGCTTATCTGATATCAATCTATCCATTGTTAGGTCAGGGAGCTGCCCTTGCTGTAATTCTCAGCTGTTCCAAGTTCTGAGAAAGCTTCAGCTATGCAGTACTTCACTACAAACCATTAAAAAATATGGCCTTAATGCAAATATACTGATCATGTCCAGATAAGTTTTGACTGTTCTCAGTGTTTGGCTTCTTACATGATGTTGATGCTTTGTTTGGTTAAAAAGTTCAGAATAATGAGTTAACTTTCCTCTGTGTTAATTTTGTACAAATTAACAAAGGCTTCAGAGCGATGCACTTGTTAATGTAGTCCATGCTGTTTCTGCTTTAAAGTAAACATTGCATTTTACTTAGCTGAGTTCACAAAAAATTTGTGAGTGCTGTGATCCTTAACTTTTCAGGTTTTAATGTAGGCTTTCAGAAACTTAGTGTTGAGAATATGTGATTAAAAAAAATAATTCCCTTTCTAATTGGGATTTCTGTTAATTTTTATTCAAAAGAGGAGTTTTAATCACTTATTTTAAAGCCCTGTTGAGTATATTGGTTTAGAACACAGTTTTCTTCGTTATTGTTGGAATGTGTGGACTACATTTTGTTAAGACGTGATTGCCCACCTTGAAACTGGTATAAATATTAGCAAGAGTTCTAATAATATGATAATGCCCTTTCAATTATAAGATAAGCTTGTGGCTGTATGATGCTTGTTAATAAACCTTGTAAATTTTGTCAAACTTCTGAGATTGTTCCTGTTCTACAGGGCAATACTGGATGTTTTAAACCTGCAGATGCTACTTTTGGGATTTTGAACGCTAAAGTGTTCTTATTTTTCCAGTTGTTTAATAATCACGACTGTAGAGGTGAAACAAGAAGTCCTGTAAGTTCAGCCTTGTTGAAAAGCAATCTAATGCAGAGAACATCTTTTGCAGGGATTGCCCTTTGACTTCTTGTGGAGGGGCAGTACCAGTCACATGCAAGAATAGCTGCTTTCTCATGTGCACTTAAGTGTGGTAAATTGTCTCTTGGTATTTTATTGGACCAGCTGGTGCTATGGACCTGTTAATTCCAGAAGTTAATTCCTGCAAACTTTTCGAGAAGCTGGTTAGACAGGTGAAGAGTCTAAAAGTAGCCACTCAACCCTGCCAAAGCCCAGGAAACAGAGGGAAGGGACCATCTGTGCCACATTTAGTAGGAAAGAAATATCTACTAGGTTAACAGAGCAGATGAAGCAACTCCCACTGGGCCAAGGAAAAGTTTCCAAGTGTATTAATGTGCAGGATACAAAGGAACATGAGAGGAGGTGCAATTTTTTTCTTTTTTATTTAGGTATTTATAAGAGGGCTTGGTTAAAATTGAAGTGCCTGTTTCTGAGAACAGTTAGTCTGCTCTTGGGTGAGGTTTAGCCCATCAGGCTCCTAAGCACATTGCTTAACTTTAAAACCTAGCAGATGTTTCAATCCTTTTTGTTTTTAAGCTGCCATTCTGACTACATTTTTGATACCAGACTTAATGCTTCTAAATATTGAATTACAAATTATAAAGCAAATATAAAGTGTTTCTGAGATGTGAAGGAATAACAGCCTGTGTTCTCCTACCAGAATATAGGAGGCAGTGTTGGCTTACAAAGATGTGACCTGGCACTCGGATACGTTTTGCAGGAACGGTAGCTGTTAGTTTAGACTTTAGTGTAACTAACCTATTCAAGGTAGACAGTTCCACAGGAGAGGATGTGGGAAATGAACCTTTGATTATTTTTTTTTCTTTCTTGAGGTTTTACTCGCATCCCATTTTTCCTAGCAATTTACAGTGTAGTACAAGACCCTCTTTTGGGTGGTGAATGAATTTCCTCTTTCTTTTAGTCCTTGAAGTTCCAGCAAGGTTCAATATTCAAGAAATAAAAATGCAGTTCAAAGGCTGTTATAAGTTTCTCCTTGATTTTTTTTTTTTATTAAGGTTTTAAAATAAACTATGAGATGGTAGCAGGGGAACTGTCAGGTACAAAATAACTTTTACAATTCTCATTATATTCATAGTAGTTTATTATCCACAGAATAATCTCAGTGATTTGCAATGAGTTATGGCTCTATTAGTAGGATACATATTGGAAGTCTTACAAACCTTCTTAAATTGCTTTTCTCAATGTTGAAAAATGAACTGCATAATGGCTTCATGTAGTGTGTCCTGTTGTCAAGCATATACATTTGGAGATTAACATACAGCTGCTACCTATAAAGAGACCATGATCCTTCAGTTCTTGTCATCTCAGTATAAATCTGTAAACAAGCTGTTGACCACAGCACGAGGCCTGTGAGCAGTAGAGTTTAATTCTTTCACCCGTAGTACTATTCAAAATGACCGTTTTCAAAAGCTTCAGAAAAGAGAGCCCAGATATCTCTCAGTTTTGGGTTCCTGAAGTCTTTCTGATTGTTCTTTCAAGTACCTTCAAACCTGGATAGGACGCGGGTTAAAGAAACCCCGCTTAGCCTCTGCTTCTTACGATCAAAAGGCTTTATGTGATAGACAAATTCAGATGGGTCTGAACAATTGATGCTACGATAAGTTGGTAAAAAAATGTAAAATTGCAACTACCTGAAGTTGCCCAAAATTTACCCCCAAAAAAGGGGTAGTAAGTCATTAAGACTTAAGAAAAACAACATTACTGCGTCTTGCAGTATTTTTGTCTGTATTCATCATTTTGCCTGTTTGCTTGACTTGGCAGCAGTACCTGAGCAGTCTGTGTGGCTCGGGTACTGCTGCCAAGGATTTAATTTTCTGATTTACAAGGAAGGAGGAAGTATCTTTCCCCACATAGCTCTCACCTGAAATATTTGAGGGTTAAGCAGGGGATAATTTTGATTGTTTGTAAGGCTGCGTTTTGACTGCTGGAAAAGACTACATGTTATTGGAATAAAGCAGGTTGTGGGTACCCTGATCTCAGATGTGGAAGTCTGTGAGAGATAATAAAGGTCCTAGGGGGCAGGGACTGTAAAACTCCATGTGCGGGACTTCAGCTGCCTTTGTATGTATAGATTATGGTTGTTTTAGTGGAGCAGGGGGATATTTTCTTGAGCGTGGTAAGCATCTGTGCTAGTAAGAGAGGAATTTTGAGTCTAGCAAAACTGCAAGCTCTCAGGAGTTTGTTTCTATTGCCTTGACAGATCTTAAATTGCGGGGAATATAAACTGCAGTTGAAGGATGTTATCTGTTTACATAGGCTTACAGAGGTATATGATCTGTTTGATTACAGTACTTTTGGAAAGCATGCCTGTGATCTCCCTTCTTTTCTGTGTGTAGTGGATATTAAAGTCTAAACTAAAATGTGTGAGATTTATTTCTGCTGGCAGCGTACTGAATCAACTCTTGCGATAACTCTTCACTTCAAACTGAAGGCTAGGCAGCCGTGTCTCACAAACGCAATGCTTATATTGGAGATGTTCGACTTCTGGATTGCTTAACGAATATCAGTGCCAAAGGGAGATAGCACAAATGTTGCCATTTAAGACTGTTGTTCAGCAGTGACCCTTTGCACTGTTCTTCTCTGCATCAAAGTGGTTTGTTGCCAGTAAGGTCAGGGAGTACATTTGGAAGGAAAACGCACGTTCTTTTGGTAATTCCCTTTGAAAGTTACAGGATTTATTGCAAAGTTTGCTGTAAAATGACAAAAAGGTACGTGGAAGTTGGCTTGGGTATAACTGCCTCCATTCCTGAGAGTTCCTGAAAGGTGGCACACAGAGCCAGCTACTTGCAAGGAACAAAACCTTGACATCTGCTTGCAGTTAGGGAAATAATTTTGTTTATTTCCACTCTCAAGAGATTTGTAAGAGTATTTCTAAAGGCTCTTAATTTAGAGAGATACCATGCTGTGGAGTCAGAAGTGCTGAGTGGCGCTGTTTTGCATCCCTCATTCATGGAAAGGAACTGCTGTAAGGCATGATGATGTGTCTCTGTTGTGTGGTTTAGGAAGTTAAAGATTAACAGTACTAGAGAAAACATGCTACGATGAAACTAGATTAGATTGCTCAAGTTTATTTGGTTCTTTGACAATTTAGTTGTGCCAACGTAATTATAAGAAGACAGAAGCACCACTGTTGATTCAGACAAAAAATGCTCAGCAATGAATAAACACATTTTATCCATGTCCCTGTCCAAATTTAAGTGCTTCCAAATTGCACTAGATGAAAAGGTGATTTTTTTTTTCCCCTTTTTTCTCCATCTGATAATTGTCAGAAGGAGATTTGTTATTGATATATTGGATATACTTGGTTTGTACATCTTGGAGATAATTTGACAGTGGCTTTTGTGATTCACAGTTTGAGGTTATTTTTTCTCACTATGGCTAAAATCTTAAATGTAAAAGCAGATTTTGATGCCTTTGCCTTGCTTTCCAGATTTATTCACTGTACTGATGATTCCCCTGATCCTTCCTTGGACTATGAGGTAAGACTCTTTGCATGATTTCTGGGTGATTTAAATGAATTGCTCACAGGCAGGCTGCCATTTGTGCTTGAGTATGTGCCTATAAAACGTTTTTGTTTGTTTTAATTGTGTTACTTGGGCAGTATGGGGAAGTCTGGTTAAGCCCTACAGGTCATAAGGAATTAATTTAATTACAGATTAGAGATGAGCTCAAGTTCAGGCTTTGGAAGCTTCCTTGCAGTTTCCTCTCATGTCTGTCAGGTTTTGCCAAGAAGGACAAGTTCAACAGCTGAAAGTCATATATTCTTGATAGTATGCTGCTGGTGAATATCACAACTGAGGTTACTAAGAGAGAAGCTAGCTGTAGTGGCTGGGGACATCCTGAACTGCAGTAGTCAATCGTATCTTGTTTCCTATGCTCGTTACCAGATTTAACTGTTAAGTTAGCAACACAGATATTAACAACGCTTTAAACTGGTCATGTGGTGCTATCGCTTTTGTGATAGCATCTAGTCATGTTTCTAATAATAATTTTTATGTAAATAGAGCATTTGTCATCATCCTGTGGGCTAAAGGGCTTTAGAAAAGTGAATGAACCCTGTTTTTTTAAAAACACTATCTTAATGTGCTTTAAAAACACAGGACATCTGAAAGCTGGAACAAATAGTTTCATGTTTACACTGTAGCTAGGAGTGTCACCTTTGATTACTGATGTTTTTCTGCTGTGGCTGATAGGTGTTGGGTGTTCCCGGTACCCATGAGCAGTAATTGAGGCCCTCAAAATAATGCATCCATCTGAATACTTCAGCTTAGGAAATGCAGAAACTTGAGAAAGTGCCAGAGAGATGCTTTAATTACCAGGCAGCATGTCCTATTGACTATAATACTTTGGTTCCTATTTCTGTCCCGTGTCCTTATTTTAACTGGTTTGTGCCTTCAGAGGCGTCACAGAATTCTGCTTGGGTGTATACCAGAATAGAGGTTGATTTGGTTAAATTTAATTCTGCTCATCAGCTCTTTTGACTAGGGAGCAATATTGTGCCAATTCCGTGACAGATTTGTTGTGTTGTACAGCAGGACTTCTTTGTTTTCCATGCTTTATCATTAATGTAACTTTGATGTTGTTTCATAAAGAATTTCACAGTTATAAATGCCGTACACAGTGGAAGAACATAAGATAATTAAGGTGGGAAGAGCTGTCAGGAGGTCTCTAGTCCATTCTCATGCTCAAAGCTGAGTAAGCAGCAGAGATCAAATCGGATTGCTTGGCGTTTTATCAAATCTGGTCTGAAAACCTCAGTGGATGAAGGGTGCACAACCTCTATGAGGGAGCTGTTCCAATGCTTGACAGTCCTCCTGGTGAAAAAGTTTCTTCTTATGTCAAGTCTGAACCTTTCTACTTTAAACTGGTTTGGACTACGTGGTCTGTAAAGGTACTTTCCAACCAAAACCATGCTGTGATTCTATGAAATCAATATTAAGTCTAATTGCTTTCAAGTATTTGCTAAAATAATTATGTAAACTGTAGGTTAAGATTGTTTGTTTTCTTCTACCAGGAATAACTTCAGAGGTCATCTTGTCATTACAGCAAAACTGTAGATCTACAAGGTATACCTGTTAACAAAACGTTACCTGTTACCTTTCTGAAACAAGACTTTGTCATTTGTTTTTCCTCTGTAGCTTGTTCTTCGCAAATGGTGTGAACTAATCCCTGGTGCAGAATTCAGATGCTTTGTCAAGGAAAACGAGCTTATAGGTGAGGATTTTTGTAAAGATAAAATTATTAGGTGAAGTTCTGAGGAGTTTCTCTGATTCCTTGAGTCAGCACTAAATATGAAGACGGTTCGTTCTTAACAGACCTCATCTCTGGAATTAATGTTTCTTCTTCTTTCTGTAATTTAAAATCTGGCATGCCACATCTCTCTTTTCACTGCATTTGAAAACCTGATGACATAGCATGCACAATATTACAGTGGGAATATTCTTAATTCTAATTGCTAATTCAGAAACTTCACCCAAAGGCTGTTTTGTGAGGGATTCTTTTATATTGAGGAGCAAATTGCATCATCTCCAACTTGCAGAATGAATACAGAGGCAATTGGGTATTATGCTGATAAAACGTGACCACATATGGATACTATATGCAGAAAGTTGGGGAGGTCAGACATGTCCACAGGTATGTGAGGTGTCTGAGTACGTATTCTATTCAATGGAGGTTAGTCAGAAAACCTGTTGATCTGTTACTCTGGTTCAAAATCCTAAATTGCAAGTGGCACTGAGCAGCTGGGGTATCCACAGCATGCGAAGAGCTGGTGGGTGCATCAGGAGACCTGTCACAGCTGGAGGACAGGCAGATTGTTCTAGAGCCTGTATTTGAGGCAGCTCCAGGGTAAATTCAGCTGAATTAGATTCATCTGGATGTATTGACTGTTCTCTGATGACTATAATAGGAGCTTAGGCATTTAGTGCACGTACAGGTGCCTGAATTGAGGGGTTTAATTTCAGGCTAACTACTGTTCTGGAGTTTGAATTCGGTTTTGGTATGGTCTACCATGGAATCTTTGAGGATGAACAGAAATGTAAATAGAACAGGACTGGTGCACGTTTGTGCTTCGCAAGATGGAATCATTCTGCCTAAACTCTTCTAACAAGGAAATGTTATAGCAGTGGTGTAGCAAAGCTCTAATCCAGACTTTGTAGGAAAGAAGATGATTTTTTTGCTTTAAAATAAAACCAAGTTTGCTCATTTTGGCTGTCTCATACCTACATATTCACAAGCACTGAGATGTATCCATGTATACAAGTGGTCTGTCTAGGATTCTTTGTGATGATGGGAAGGGAAGGGATATTAACTGTGTAGTCCTCATTGTTCTCCTGGCTTCTTCTCAGCATGCTGACTATGTGCTTGTTTTGGATGTGCCTTTCTGTACCTGTTAGGAGCTGTCAGCAATTTGTCGCTCCGTCCTGTCCCACCTCTGTGGATCATTAGGAACGTACTCTCTGTTCTTTGTTTCCTGTTTTGGGATGTGCTAATCTAGGTGCTGTCAACACATACTATTCTCCTAGTCCTTTTATTTAGCTGTTCCTTCTGGTGCTTCTACACTAATTTTCCCATTTTCTCTCAATTCATGCCAATTGCAGGGTTTATTACAGTTCTCTGCAACAGAGTTTATGTTGCTAATAGCAGAGATTCTCCATTAAGCCAGTATTGCTTAATGGCTCCTCATAGCTTTTTGAAGGGGGAAGAACTGAATCCTGTCCTGTTGTGTGCTGCTGGCACACCACGCCTGCCAGAGATACGCATCACTGTAATAACCTCTAAAGCATTTGAATGTAGGTTTATTATAGAATATACATATAATGATATTTACTTTCAAACACCTCAAAGCATTGGTACGCTGACTGATTAAACACTGTTTGTTTCATTACTAGCTTTTGAAACCTAGTAGCTCTACCAGTATGTTTGGTTTGTTTGTTTGTTTTTAGCTAGTACTCCAGCTGCATTTCTGAAGACAGTTCCAAGATTTTTCACAATATGTTCCCATTCCCATGAGCTTGAAATTAATAAGCCTGTCAGTCAAGCGAAGGAGTGATGCTTGCACAGTGTAGTGAATGATTTTCCAGTTACACATCTGCATCCCCTGAGATGCAACCGTCTCTTGTTTTTGTTTTTAGACCTGAGTTAAGCTTTGCAGTAGTATTAATAATTTAAAATTCCACTGACATAATAAACTTTGTATGAACTTCTTTAAAAAGCACATTTTTGGAGGAGGTAGTCATCATTGTCTTACAGTAAAAGTTAATCTCTGCTTTTTATATATAGTTAAAACAGCAAATTGTCATCATTGATGCATCTTTCTTGGGGGATTCTGGCTTTTTCTTTCTCTAAGTAGCACGAGTTACTCATTCTGTAGTGATGGGGAAGGTCTTGATTTGATATTTAAAAACAGGGTATTGCAGTGGCTTATGTTGACGTATCCTGTATGAGAACTTCTGTCACTTAAAATGCATGCAAGTGTATAATCCTGTTGTAGACAAACAAATGTCTGAAATTGAGAGCTTGTGATGTAGCTGGGATAGTTTATCGAATGTCAGATAAGCAAGAAAGCTCTCAAGGGGGCAAATAAGAGAAATAAGGTACTAGGCTGCATGCCATCATATTGATTTTAGGATTTAAAGTTTCACCTGTAGTGCCTTATCAAACAGGTACACATTACTCCACATGTAAAAAAAACTTAGTTAAATGAGAATCTTTATGGTACGCTAGGATCTACCTTCTTTGCTGATGTGCAAGCTTAGCCTCTACCCCTTTCCTTTCATGGCTGCAAATTCTGGTCCCTACATCTGATGTGCAGAACAGAAAAGGTTTTTGACCAGAGTAACCAGAGGGAATAAAACTGAAATACAGGATCTGGAAACTTAAACACAGGCAGTTTCCTCCTGAAATTCACTTAAAAATAGTCAAAGCGTGTACAGATAAAATGAGGTTCACAAAATGTAGGACAGAACTGTTCAAGGAAAAGATTCCTGATGGAAGTGCTTTAAGTATAGGAGAATAAAGCCAAACAGTAAGTCATTGGTGATGGCTGAAACTTGGGATAACCCGATCTTCTGAAATATAAATTATAACGTGCATGTCTGATAACTGCATTTTGTCTGGGTGGGTTTTTTGCATGCCTAAAGCTCTTTATAATGAACTAAAATTATCAACAGGTATATCACAGAGGGACTACACTCAATACTACGATCATATCTCTAAGCAACATGAGGAGATCTGTAGATCAATACAGGAGTTCTTCAAGAAAAACATACAGTATAAATTCTTGGATGAAGACTGTAAGTATCTTAAAGCTTCATTTGGCAAGGGGGGAACATGGGGGAGGGAAAGAAAAATTTTAAAATACTTATTGCACACATTGTTACGAAGACTTAGAAACAGAAATGAAGGGTCTATGTCTTTGAAGTTCTTTTGCAGGGTGCTGGGAGGTTTGAAACTGAAACTGCAGGGCAAACTCCATAGAAATGAGACCTGTCCTCCTGCCCCCTTGCTGTTGCTGAGCTAGGCTTGTTTCCTCCACAGTGTACCAAGTTGTAATGTGCTAAATTCCAGTTTACAGCTAGATCTCAGTGGAAAAATGGGTACTTTGTAATAAATAATGGCATCTCCAATGTTTGAAGTCTGTGGATATGCACCTCTCTATACCTATTGCTTTCACAGGGATTGGTTCTTTTTAATTTGTGAGAGTCTCATAGCTCTTGTGGCTAGAGCACGCAGAGCAGTGTAGGTTTTGAATGACTATAAAACTGTCAAAGAAAACCCCAAGCAACTCTGAAAGAATAGGCTGGAGCTTTTCAGGAAAACACAACCAATGAGTGAAAGATCCCTTCAGGAGGCATGATGGCTTTTTCTTTTTAAAGGCTTTTTTCCCCTTATATTTGTTTTTAATTAAGAAAAATTCTAAACCTGAGAAGTGAGGTAGGAAATGCTTAACAAAAGGCATTCAGTAGTAAGAAGAATACTTGTTTATAAAGATGTTGTCAGATGTTTGCTGTGTTCCTTAAAGACAGGACTTGTAAATTTATTTTCAAGAAGTTACAATAATTTCTCCTAGAATATTGATACACAGCAATTCAGCTGCTGAAACTCTTGAATAAAGGCCGTGGTATTTGATACCTGAGCAGCCCAAGTAAATTGTCTTGATCTTTAAATGTGGAGTCCTTTGCAAATTTTATTGGAAATAGTTGTCTGATATGGTTTGGTGAGAACTGAACAGTGTTCCATTGTGATGGGTGATCAGTAGCGATGAAAAATATGATGAAGAAATTTAAATTGGGTCTGGCTTGGACCAGTTTAGTAAAAAACAAACTTAAGAATTGTCTGGAAGTTGTATTATCTTCTATAAAGCTTTGAAAACTCAACCTTTAGGTAAGTTTTGAACATCGTTAATTATTTTGCTGAGCCACCAGAGCAATCAAATGGATCTGTCCTGTCTGACTTTCTGAAAAAGATACCTTCTAATACCAGTCTCTGTTTTATTAAAGTTCTTAATAATTTGGCTCTGCAAGTTTCCTTTATTTCAGTCCAGAGAAGTTCTCAAGGACCACTGCTTGGAAAAGACTAGTAGTCTGGAAATCAGGGTACTAATTTAGTAGGTCCATAGCCCTGATGTTTTGAAGTAAGATCACTCATATAGATCTGACATTCTGATTACTGTCAGAATTTAATTTTCCTCTGTGTTCCAACGTAACACAGTTAGCTGGTATATAATCAACTGATAGATAAGAATTCAGGGCACTATTGTTGGAAATTGATGCCTAGATTTAGGCTCTGAAACTGCTGTCTGGTGAACTGAGAGGTCTGAAGTGTCATCTTATGTAAAGGAAGTAAATCTGTGCCAACTGTGTTACCTTCTGGGGGAAAGGAGGTTTCAGGGTGGCCTTCTGAGATGAGGGTTTGTTAACCTTTTGTTCTTAAGCACTAAATGCTGGCGACTTGTCCATCTGCAGAGAAATGCCATGCAGAAAATGTTTTCTGCTTTTTTTTTTTTTGCCACCTTTCATTTATCCCCCATCATATCCCTTGATCCAGTGTCTGGTAGCATATGTGTTGTTAACAGGAAAAATCTGGGTTTGCTTGTTTGTTTGCTTTTAACAGGAAAGGTATTACAGCTTTTTTTCTTGACTTCTTGTTTTGTTGGGGATTTTGATGCTGTTTGCTCTGCTTTTTCCAGTTGGTCTGGTAGCATCTTCAGATGGAAGAGTTGAGTCAGAGCAGCTGAAGCATTGCAGAGTCAGAGCAGTAGGATAACAAATGGGTGGATGCTTTATAAATACTTCTAAATTATGTTAGTACCTTCTAAATACCTTTCATAAGAGCCCAGTAGGAAGTGTTCTGAAAGTATCAATACTTCCTGTAGAGTTGAACCTTGGCTTACCCTCCATTTTGAGCAATTGCTGGTAAAGTTTTACTCCAGGCTTGCTGGCATACAATGCTCCTGCTCTGAGGTAGTCCCTAAGAACAGGGAACAGTTCAGGTATTCTTCTCTGTTCAATGTTTGAGAGTGTCCCAAACTAGCCACCAACGTGCAGCCAGTCTTAATGGGGATTTAAATCCCACTAAATGCCATTAGCCTCAGTGATTGCCATAGGCTGCTTTAAGCTGACGGGTCTCATTTTATAATAAAGCTCAGATGCAAGTTTTCCATTAATGGAATATGACTAATGAGAGTACATGGTACAGGCAACCAGTTCAGTTGAACAGCTGGAGAAGACATTTAGGATTGCTGTCCTCCTCTTTGCAGTGATGATTTACTTAACCACTGAGGGCTTGTCTTCTCGAGAAAACATAGCACTTAATTCCAGAGCGACATTTTAAATTGATGTAGCTGAGCTTGTGTAAAGAGCTGTGTGGATTTTTAAACTATATGGTCAAAAGCAGTTACGTGGCTGGCTTTGGTGCTGTTGAGTTGTGGTTTGCCCTTAGCCCAGCCAACTTCGCATGAAATGTTAGATTAAGCTGCTGAGTAGCTTTACAAGCATGGATGTTGCTGACGGGCAGCTTCCTGCGTAGTCGCTGAGGCTCAAGTGTTCTTCAGCCATATCCTGAGTTTAGTTTATCCCCCATGTATTGGGAAATCTCTTAGCTGAAATATTCCCGTCTTTATTAGTGAAGGAAGTGACAATACAGCATTTGTCTGAAGTTTTTCTAAGTCTGGCTTTTTTTTATTCCCTTTCTTTCTGCTAAGCCGGTACAACTTCTGCATGTGGTCATGCCTGAATGCTTATCTGTCGATTTCCCTAGCTGAATAGAAAGGCAAATCAAAGATTTGTTTAACCATAAAGAACAGAAGCTAATAGAAAGATGCCTGTACAAAGATTCACGCTTAATTAAGTCAAGGGGAGGGACAACAATGGAGCTACCAGGCGTTTAGCATCAGTCACTGACTAGGAAAAAGGGTCTGGTTGAAAGAGCTGTTGATAATTAGTAGGTGTGCTGTATCTGCTCTGGGTTAGCTAAACTTGGCCATTTCACTGCCACCTCCTCCTCAATGCACCCACTGACCCCTTTGTTCCTACAACCTGTTAGTCTTGTTATCTGCTGAAGTCCTCATCTCCTTCAAGCAGGAGCTTTCTCTTACTAAATGTTTGTGCAATGTTTAGCACAGTGGGTTCTTGATCCTTCCTTGAAATTTCTCTGTTCCGCTGTAAGCTGAACAGGAGTAATGTCGAAGATCATAAGCTTCTCTCTGTGCTGACTTTATAAAATGTTCTTCATTGGGGGAGAAAATTAACAGAAGAAACCAGCATTAAATGGAGAAACCTGGCAGCCGATCTCTCAGTGCATTAACAATAGTTCTTGAAATGTTTCAGCTCCCTCTTGGAAATGAATGTAATTCTGGCTTGCAGTTCTTTAGACATACTGACTTTGCAGCTTGTGCTGTGTACGCAAGTATCTATTTAAATTTAGACTTCTTCTGTAAAATTATGTATCTTTTAAGATTTAACTTTTTTTTCTCCTTTTCAGTTGTTTTTGATGTGTACAGAGACAGCAGGGTAAGTGAACAACAGGTTGTATATAATTGTTTATTCTGTGGAAACTCTTCCTGAAATGCTATGGAAATGACACAAATAATAGCTTCATCTTCCTAGAAGTGGTCCTGGCAAGGAAAAATGAAAAAAAAAAAAAAAAAAAAAAAAGGAAATTAAGTACCTGATGTTATCGTTTTGTTCCCCAGGTCCTTTTTCCATGTTAGACACTGTCCACAATAGGGGAATAATAGGATTAGGGGTGTACATACGTCTGTGCCAGTGATGTAATTACTTACTAAATATCTTCAAGAAAAGTGTTCTGTCTTAAAGCATGTAACTTTGGCTTCAGTTGCAATTCTGTCAGTTCTAGGAGTCCACTGAAGGCAATTTAGTTTTATTTTAAGATAGGTACTTAATCAATATCATGTAATGTTACTAAATAGCTTTAGTGAATCACTACTTATTGCTACGGTTCCTCTGCATAGTGCTTACTCTGGGTGCTTTTGACTCAAATGTATCTGAACACTCAATCAGAAGTAATCATTAGTATTTCTTCAGATTATCTTTCTGAGGTTGGAAAGTGATAACTCATACTTCATAGATGGAACTCTAGGGTACAAAGGGATAATTGTCTAAAGAGTATATGAATGTAGCATGCCCAGTTGGAGACTGATGGAAGTTAATTTTTTCTTTTCAAACTGCTCCAGCGGTGGTGCTGAGTGCTCAGCAGATCAGAACTCTGAACATCCAGATAGTGACGAAGTGGGGGAAAATGTCCTATCCAAACTCCAGCTCCCAGAATCTGCATTAGTCACCTTGACCTCTCCTAGTGTCAATGGAGAAAAATAGGTCAGATGAATTATGCTCAAAAGGCACACGTGTTGTTTTAGAAGCAACCACAACCAAAAATGCATTATGTAACCTTAAATCTCAAATGATTTTGGGAATCACAGCCTGATTTTGGGAATCACATTAGTGCATGAGTCTTTGTTTTAGCTCAGATTGCTTTCTGAATCCTAAATCAGAAATGCAAAAAAAATGGCTATACACTTTTGCTATATACATCTATCAGTCTGTGTTTGACTTGTTTACACTTACGGGATTGGAGAAAGTCTCTACTTGAGTAGTTGCTGAAGTATTTTGTAATTGTGTAATAGTAAATCATGCCATAGTCTGCAAAACAGAAACTAAACAGGAATGTGTGTCATGTGCAAAAGAACTATTGTACTGTTACTCAGCACAACTTTTAGCTCGGGTACCTAAAAATCACTAAAAACAGCCATGCTGAATGGTAATGAAAATTACCTGCGAGGCTCCAATCATCAGATGTGAGGATGCTGTCAGGCAGAATGAGGAGCAGCACTTAGCATTGAACCAGGCTCTGCTGTTGGATGCTCTGCCTCACAGCTGAGGCATGGAGACAGATTATTTAACTACAAGGTTTCAGCCTGTGTGATGTCAAATGAGCAGCGTTTCTTCATCTGTCAAAATAAAATATATCTGTTTCTAGATATCTCTTGGTGCTTTCTTACCCTCTTGTAAACTGCCAGATAGCCCTTTGTGTGTCAGATCCTCCTCCTTTCGCACATACTTTTGTGGTTTGCAACTGTATTATTCATCACTCCCTTTGTCTGTGAGTTACAGGCAGCAAAAGAATACTGAGTGTTGCTGAGTGTGATTAATTTCCAGAGCCCGTACTCCTCATCAGGCTGGTTGCACGGCAACCTCACCTACAGAATGAGATAAATGTCCAGTGTCTGCTTATTTTAAATTCTTTTGCCTCTAAATATTCATTTTGGAGAAGCTCGTTCTCTGATGTGGTTGTGAATGAGAGCAACCCCCTCCCTGTGCTTGCTTTAGGAGTCGGCTGCCACAGGTCCTGCTCATTGAGTTGGAGGGTGGCATAGAAGCGGTTGAGAGCAAGCTTTTATGTGTCCGCCTTTCCTTTTACAACCTGTTCACTGAGCTCATCTGAGATAGTGCTTGACTTTGCAGATAAACCCATCTTTTAAAGAAAAAACACTGTCATAATCTTCCAAGGTGGATGATCTGGAGCCCTAGTCCTGAAGAAGTTCTGTTGCAGGACTGGTGGCCTGTTTTCATTTGGATCCACTTCTTTTCTTTGCTGTTAGCAGCTCACAATCATTGTGCAACAGTTGACAAGCCTGAGAATCAGCTCTGCTGTTGCTCTTTGTGTATCTCCCAGGTGTTAACAGCTTGTAACCGTGTTCAAGAGAAATCACTGTGGTAAGACAAAGAAATGCAGTGAGTGGCTCCTGACCACTGCTAGCTCACAGCTGCTTTTATTAGCATGCAAACTAGTGCTTGTGTCTGCCTTGTGAGCATTGTCACTGCGCAGGAAGGTGCAGCTGGAGTTAGGGAGATGTAACAGTTCGGTTTGCATTTTATCTGTCTTCTGACTTCCTTTAAACAGTCTTTGTCGTACACTTCCTTTCAGCAGCATGTTGCTTAATGCTTTAGTAAAAGAAAGCGTGAAGCTGACATGATATGGTAAATCTATTGGTTCCTGCTTTAGGATGAGAGAAAAATCTTATGTAACACAGGTTGGGTTTTTTTTTTTTATTCCCCTCCAGATATGCACAACTTTGCTTTCCTGGCTTGTGCATTTCTGTGCTCTCATAAGTCAAAGATTACTAATACCAGAAGATTGCAGTTAAATAGCTTTACTACTGCTCTTCAGATACACAGTGCAACTCATCTTAAACTATGTTTAAATCATGACATTGCACATAAGACTTGAAAGAGCATTTAATCTTAAGAAAAGACAGTTTGGTTACCGACCCAGAGTTATATATACTCCTTTTAACGAGCCGTGAAAAGGGATATATAGTTTGTTTTGCCACTTCTCATCAATTTGCAGCTACCAAAGCTCAGTGCAGATTTAAGACCACCACAAGGAAACTGTTGGTGTTGTAAATTGCATACTGCTGTCTGCAGGGAAGGAGAAATACTGCCAGGTGCTCACAAAAAACAGGGGTTGTTTTCAGTGGTCTCAAAACCAGTTTTTGTTTTTTCCAGGGTACCTCTCTTTTCTAGAGGAAATGATCTTAAATTTGTATGAAAAAGCTGAGTTTTGTGTATTAGGGGTGAGGAGGAGTCTCTGTAAAAGCCTTTCACAGGGAAGTCCTTTATTAAGTATAAATGTTTCTGATGCAGAGAAAGATCCTCTGAACTGCTGAACAAACTTTGCCAGCCCGTTGCTTCTGTCTGTGATTAAATTGGTTCATTAGCTTGTTTTTCTAGTGCGATAGAAGGAATCTAAAATTACAGATTCCTCCTCCTGCTGCCTTGGAGCTAACAAGATGTCCCCATTAGCAAAAGTAAAACATCACTTATAATGAGAATTTGTGACTGCCTTTTGAAGAGGAGCAGAGATGGAAAATGATAGCAGAGCGTGCCCCTGTTCGCGCTCTGCACCAATGGTGTCAATATTGATGTGGAGGTGTTGCAATTTAGCCACACAGATTTATGCTTCTTCACCCTTCCAGAACAAGTAAGAAACCACTCAGGTCTGTGTCCCTCCAATTAGCAGTTTCTTTTGTAGCTGTCTGCTTTCAGTACTGCCGTTGCAGTGCATTGGCTTCTTAAAATCAGCTCGGTGAGAGCTGCACCTCATGGGTCTGCCCGGAGAGAGACAGACAGACGTGCGAAAGCCTATGTGCAACCACACGCTCACCGGCTGGGGTGCTGGCTCAGTTCCAGTTTACAAGTAATATCACTGGTTTCATCTGTGCTGGGTCTCCCCCCACCTGCATGAGAAACCCGTCCTGGTTGATAACAGAGCAGCCAGAGCATTTCTCTTCTCCATTTCATGGGTTTCCGTGCATTTCCTATTCTGTAGTGTGTTCGTGCCTGTGGGGGTGGCTTAGGCAGTGTGGGTGGGAGAATTCTCCATGTTACTCAGTGACTGAAGTCTTCAAAAGCATCTTTGTAAGTTAGAAACCAGATGGCTGTAGTGTCAATTATTGAAGATACTTACTGTTTGTATCAGGATAAGAAGGGTCTTTTAAAGAAATAAGATCCTTCAGGAATAAGGGAAATAAAGAGAAAGCAAAATAAGTTTTTGGTAGCCATACAGTCTTCAGGTTTGGTTTCCAATTCCAGTTATCTTTAATAAACACAATAAAAACCTTCAGTCCTGCTTATGTTACAGCAACCGTTTTCTTTCTGTATTTGATAGATCTGATTTCTAGCAGATGTAATACTTGTTTTGAAAATTCTTACTATCAGTTGTATTCCTATTTTATACTTTATTGTAATGTTATGTTTTGTTAGAATATATAACACTTTCTTGGGTAAGAAAAGACGGCCTTATGCTCCGGGTTGTATCTTGAGATGACTCAAGGAATGCAAACCATATCTTGCTCCTCTGCAGACATCCCTGTTACCTTTAAGTCATGTTAGTCTCTGTGCTTTCATTTTTCACTTGTAAAACAGGCATGCTGTTGTGCGTACTACCAGAACTGCTTGAAACACAAATATATTAAAGATGAGGCAGGAGAAACTAGCCTGGACTACTAGTAATGGCTAGATTAAAAATACCTTTACATTATTCTTTGTCTGTATCTGTGCAGCACCTTTCAGCTTTCATGACCTCCTGTAGCATTTTGTGGACCCTGCTCTGTATTTGTAAGTTCCTTCTGAGACCAAGAACAGCAATCTTTGTAGACTGTTGAATGTACAGGTGTGCTGAGGTGGCTTTTGATGAAAAGCAAAATCCTTGTTTGGGGTTTGGTTTTTGTTTTGTTTTGTTTTTTTTCTCCATTCCTTGTTCATGCTGTCTGAGGATCTTGGAGGACCATGGTGATTAGACAGAACTTCTGTGGTCTCACCTGAAAACACCTTGCGTAGAACTGAATTCAGTTTATTGGAGCTCTCTCATCTTCTGTTTAAAAAAAATAAATAAAATACTAAATCATAGCTTGCTGTGTTTTAAAATTGTGTCTAATGTAAAGGATGCTAGAATATTTTAAGTGCTTAAAACCAGGCGATTTCAATTTTGAAATCTTTTTATGTAAAGACCAAGCATGTTACAGTAATATAGGTATATGTCTATTCTGATTTTTTTTTTTAAATTCTCTAGTTTGTTTTAACTCTTCTGTTGTTCCATTGCAGGGTAAGATTTGGTTAATAGATTTTAACCCATTTGGTGAAGTCACAGACTCTCTGCTGTTTACGTGGGAAGAACTGACCTCTGGGAAAAACTTGAAAGGAGACCAGGGTGAAGGGGAAGCAACAGAACAGGTACAGCCCTGTGGTGAGGGAGCCTGGCTAACAAATACAATAGGTGTTATGGCCTTTTTTTCTTTCTTTCTTTCTTTGTTATTATCAAATTGTGATACATATTCCTTTGAAACAAATGGATGTCCTTAACTCGTGAAATGTAAACTCTTTATAAATAGAATCTACCTTATTAGACAGTAGTTAATCTCAACAAGTATCTCATGCTAGTTTTAGATGCCTGCAAGGGAATTTTTAGTTCAAACTGTACAATCCCGTATTGCAGCTTTGACCGCATGGAGAGGAAGATGCCCTGAAATTTGCTTTCATGCAGTTTTGATTTGCTCCGTTAAATTTCTCTTAAAATCTGTTACTTTTCTATTTAATCACTTAAAGTTCTGCTTTGTTCCCAATATCTGTCATACAGTTTCCCAGAGCTCCAGATTTATGTTTTAGGGGGAGACAAAAAGAAGCTTAACTTCTGTCTCTTCCTCTTATCGAGTACCCTTAGGGAAGCCTTGTCCTCTGGTTGAACTCCCTGGACTTGCAGAGCAGGGCTTTTCTATACCTTTTCCAAACTGCATTGCCACCATAAAAACAAATAACTTCCTGCTAATACAGAGAGGGAGGAATAGTCTTAATTCGTTTGTACTCCAGTTCTTTTTCTCACTGTATGCTTGAGACCGAGTCCTCACATCTTAACGAGTCCTTGGACAGCTGGATGGAAGATATAAAGTAGTTTGTTACTTATCTTGGGAAATACTTGGTAGTTGTCTGAGGAGAGAAGGCTAGTCAGATAGCACGGGCTTTTCTTTATTTTGTAGCTATTCAGCTACCTTAGAGGTAACTGAAATGATACACTTTCTTGAGCTGATTTTAACATTTGAGCTTTCCTTTAGTTCTGGCCCCATTTTCATAACGTTGAAAGGGAAACGCACCACTGCAGGCTGTCATTCATGCCATTTTCTCTGAGTCTCACCATGTGGCTATTGCTGTATGAAAACCCATTCAGTGAACCTTCCTGCTAAAAGCTGAGTCTCCTTTGTTTAAACACACTCTCAATTCGTGAACTGTCCATGGGCCACCTGAATTTTGTTTGGAGGGTTTCTTTTTTCTCAGTGCCAGATGTTTTACAACGTTTTCTCTGATGTAAGCTTGGATGAAAAGTAGAATTACTTGTCTTCCTGTTTCAGCTTACATCCGATCACAGAATCTGGTGTGAAGTTACTGAACTTCTGTCTTTAAAATGAAGCTGCTTACCGCCATACGGTGGACAATTATGTTGCATGTCAGTGTGTTGTACTGAAAATTATATCAAGTTACCCAAAATCTGTTGCTACAATTGAGCATTTATAGAGATATTTTTGAATATTTTATAGAGATATTTTTTCCTTCAGTAAATAAATTGCTTGGAAAGCTTAGATCATAATTCCAGTAAGATTATATTAGCAGACATGGGTTTAAACAAGGAACTGGTGAAGACAAGTTTAGGGATTCTGTCATAAATATTTTATTTATCCTTGTATTTATGTAGTTACTATTGCCCGAAGTTCCTTATAGCTCCATTACTACAGCACTGTTACAAGTGTATGTGTAATAAATGCATTAGTAATCGATCCGTTGTAGAAATGTATGGGAATGACTGCCTTATTGGCATATGGGAATCAATTGCCTCATTAACATTTTAACTTTTGTTCTCAATTGCACAGAGTTTTTAATAAGCAAACTACAGTTTCTAGAAAGCACAGGTTTAGTGGAATGAATGCCAAATAAACTCAAAGTGACTCAGACGATCTCATGAAGGAGTTCAAGAAACGTTGCTACCTTTATTCACGTACACTGTTCTTGTCTTACCCAACATTTTTCCATAGGACTATCCAGTTTTCCGTTGTACAAACAGTAAGGTTACTGTCCAGCCTAGTCCATACCTGAGTTACCGACTGCCAAAAGATTTTGTGGACCTTTCTACAGGAGAGGATGTTCACAAATTAATTGACTTTCTTAAACTGGTAAGAAGTAGTGAAAAAAATTTCTGATCTTCCATCTTTGTGAAATGGCAACATCAAAGTGCCTGGAATTGTGCTTTCGTAATTAACATATGTTAATTACAGAAAAAGTAATGTATGAA